GTGCCTGTCTGTGACCGTGGGAATTCCGGTACAAGGTGTGCCAGCCGCGGGCCTTTTTTGGAAATCGATGAACCATACTTCCATACTATCGAAAAGACAGTTTTGAGTTCTGCTTAGCGATTCGATCCCACTTTCTTTCAGGGAAAAGGAGTGATGGAGACGTATTGGCTTCTTGGTCGTACCGGAGAAGTACGTCGTCCGTCGATTACACCCGTAAAGTCACCAGTAAGGGAACAAGTACAGCAGATTACCAATGTGGAACCTATCCCTCCGGAAGGAATATATGAAGAATATAAAAAGAATGCTTCAAAAATTCAAACCGAAGACGATTAGTATTCCTAGCAGTCCAATGAGTTCGGAATATTCCGTTTCTAATACTAACTCGTTGCTCTTCACAACTGTCACTGTAATAAGCTGGTCCTCGTAGACGCTTTCATACACATATTTGATAATTTTCAATAATTGTACAATTTTTAAAGCGAAATTCCTCGATATTAAGCATCTCTATTCTTTAGAAATGTCCACATTACATATATACTTATCGATTTGAATCATGTGAAAGATTTGGTAGGAATGACGGGTTCGCTCCGCCATATTGTTGTAATATCATCACAAATTAAACAATAAATTAGTTTCAGCCAAAGGTTTTTTGTGATGACCTGAAGAAGGATGATCCAATGAGATGCTTCACTAGGAGTTGTTGTTTTTTTTTTGACTTTGAAGTTCTCGAGATTGGTTCTTTCACGTTCCACATAAGTCTTTCTTCATGACCTTAAAAGGCTATACCATTCGTTACTTTTACTCTCAAAAGCCGTCATAACTTTACTGAACTTATGGGCTGCTATTTATTAATAATTCTTTATTATTATGTGTATCGTGCTGCTGGGCTCTTCTACATCCTTGGCCCAGGACACGAGATCGATCACAACTGAGTGGGAGACGAGCGTTAGGAACGAATTTGGGTAATCGATTTGCCGCACGCGGCTGTCGCGGACCTTTCTTTCGCCGTTATTACAGCTCTAGCGTTCTTAATACAGCTCAATCGATATACGGTCATTATTTTATGCATAATTCTACTATTAGTACTTT